TCCCACGTCGTCTCTTCTGGGTGATGTTTACAATGCAGGGGAATGGTGGAGGTGGCCACTTGGCCGGATGAATAATTTCAAACATCTGTATGTGATAATGTTGACTACAAATTAAGAAGTGGCCTGTGGCTTTTAAGTTATTTTAATTTATGCAAAAATGTAGGAGGTAGGTTCAGGGTTAGGAGGAGAGCGTGAACTGCCACCTGGAGGTAATTTTAGGCTCACAAAAGGCTATGAGACAACAAAACAATGATTTTAACCAGTTGGCCTGTTCATCACTCGTTAACAAATCTTTATTGAGCCCGCACTGTGACGGTAGGCTCCACGGTATGCATTGGGCATAGGGCAGTAAATGCATAGATACAGATACAGACCCTGCCCTCATGGAGGATCTCTTCTTCTTCCCCCCTTTTTCCCCCCTGTTTTTGTTTTATTTATTTTTGATTTTTAAAAATTGTGGTAAAATACAAATGACATAAAATTTACTATCTTAGCTATTTTTAATAGTACAGTTCAGTGGCATGAAATACATTCACATTGTCATGCTACTGTCACCAACATCCATCTCTGGAACTCTGTCATCTTGTTACACTCTATAAACATGTAACAATAATTCCCCATTCCCCTTTCCCCCAACCCCTGGCAACCTCGATTCTACTTTCTGTCTCTGTGACTATTCTAGGTACCTCATATAAGTGGAATCATACAATATTTTTCCTTTTGTGACTGGCTTATTTCACTTTGCATAATGTCCTCAAATTTCATCCATATTGTAGCATGTGCCAGAATTTTCTCCCTTTTTAAGGCTGAATAAATGAGTATTCCATTGTATGTATATGCCACATTTTGTTTATTCATTAATCTTCCATGGATACTTAGGTTCATTCAACTTTTTGGCTATTGTGAATAATGATGCAAAGTACATGGGTATACGAATATCTGTTCAAGCCCCTGCTTTCAATTTTTTGGGGTATGTACCCAGAAGTGGAATATCTGGATCCTATGATAATACTATTTTTAAGTTTTTGAGGGACCACAATACCAATGTCCATAGTGGGTGTACACCACTTAACATTCCCATCAACAATACAAAAGGGTTCCAATTTCTCCACATCTTTGCTAACATTTTCCTTCCTTCCTTCCTTTTTTTCTTTCTCTCTTTTTCTCTTCCTTTTCATAGTAGCCATCCTAATGGGTATGACCTATGCATCTTTGAGACTTCTTTATGCTTTACTGCAGAATGGTGAATCTCCTGGTCTGTGGGAGATCCTATGACCTCTGTGTTTTGTGTGTGTGTGTGTACCTGTCTTTTGTGTTAGTCTTTGAATATTTTTACTATTGGTATCCAAGCCACAACCACCAAGGGTATGTGAGCATAAAGAAAATCCTAACTCCCCTAGCATGAAGGGCCTCTGTATACTCTGAGTAAGGGGTGGGTGGTGGTAGCTGCTAAAATCCAAGAGGCCAGCTTCTGAGGGAATCTGGTGCTGTGTAGAAGGCAGGGGTTCCCTGAGAATGTCTAATGCTCATTCATATGATTCATGATTGGAGGAGACATTGGTCCACAACCTCTAACAAGACCCACTATAAAGAGAAAGGAGATGGAAAAGTGGATTGATACAGTGATGCTTTTGAATAGAAACCAGAAAGGTGGGCAGGATATAGTAATAATAAAATCATAGAATAAGTCAAGTCATTCTAGTGCTCATAAAGTTTCTAACATTTTCACTTGTATTCATCTATTTATGACCATGCTTTTGGCAACATCACTGCTTATTAACAAATACACACTTTCTAGCATGGTGAAAAAGGAGAGAAACTGAGTAAGCAGCTGTGCTCCATCGAGGTCCTATTTATACAGAGACCCCCAGAACACTGAAGCTGGAAGGGACCAGAGAGGTCATTTAATTTATTCTTCAATTCACAAATGAGGAAACTGATGCTGTTGCTTTTGGGAAGGAGGAGGTGGAATATTACCTCCTTCCATAAGTGAGAACAGACAATCTGGGAAATGCTGGAGTTAGAAGCCACAAGAATGTTTCTGTGATAATATGGACTCAACAGTCAATTCTTAATTTACACTCTAGATTGACTGCTTTCTGATTTTATTCTGCAAAAGTCTCTAGAGCACATTAATAGAACATATTCTATGAATAGAATTATTCTATGAATAATTTAAAATTTTCTATTTAAAATGTTCTGTGAACATTTACAGACTTGGCTGTCCTTTAAGTATATATTTTTCTATAGCTAGAGTTTTTCTCCCACAAACTAATTGCATAGAAGAGGAAATGGGCTTTTATCATCACCCTGAAAAGAAGCAGGCCCCCAAAGATAGCTCTCTTTTCTTCTACTTCTGCCCCACCGTAGATTGAAGTGAATATAAAATGGGGCAGAAAAGGCCCATAGTGCTGCCCATGTATGAGGGGAGGGTGGCACTCTGTTACCTGCAGGCACAGCCCTGTTTGTGTGAATCAACAGTGAATGTGGTTCTGTGTGGTCATAAGGGCCTGACAGTGTCCCTTGTTGCACACAGGAGTCAGAGCAGGAGTCCCAAGGTGGTGGAGAAGGCTTCAAAGATGGGGAAAGGAGGAGCAGAAGGCCAGAAAGTATCCCTGAATTTGTGCAACAGGTCTTAGTAAGTCCTCCACATATGTAGGAAACCGAGTCCAAGAAAAGTAAACATTTGTACAAAATCTATGGGTTGCAAGACTATGACAACTCTCTATTGTGATTTCCATCCCTTACCAACTTTTACACTGGAGAAGACTTTTGTCTGTGCTGTTATTTTGCTAGGGGCACTTTAGGGAAGACAGCAAAATTCACCGAAGGTTACACTAAGCACCGTGCAGCATGCAGTGCTATGGCGCTTACTTAGGTAGGAATACAGTTCTCAAGCTCCCACTTCTAATGCCAAACCAAAACACAGCTCAGTGAGGGGAGGGGGGGTTAAGGCTTTTCATTTGTAGGTAGAACTTAACAGGTGAAGACAGTTTATAACTGTTATAATGTAGGCAGCATATTCCACACATCCCCCGGACCCATGTTACACCGGGTTTTTCAGTGCATTAAATTACTCAGAAGTTTAAAAACCATTCCTGCCTCTCCGCTATTCTTCTCTGGCCACCCTTAGAGGTTTCAATATAACTGGAATGTCATATCTCTCTGGTTGCTGGGGCAGAGGAAAGTTTAAGAAACAATGAGGTAGCTTCACAATAACTAATCACAACTCTGTGATCCTCTTACACAGCTGATCAACTCATTTCCTAGCACCTTCTAGAACATTCCTTCCAGACCAATAGAAATATAATGCAAGCCACAAACATAATTTAAAATATTCTATTTAACTCCATATATCTAAGGTATTTTCATTCCAACAAGTAATAAATATAAAATATGATATGTATATATATCACATATATGTACTAAGTCTTCAAAATGCGATGTGTCTTCAGGGCCAGTCTTTGGGGCTCAAACCCTATCTTTGCCACGCTCACTGATGTAAGTTTACTCCAATAGAAATAGAAATTTCGCCATAGTGTAACCTTTCTCACCTGTCTCAGAGGCCTTTCCTTTCCATGTCTAATGTTTCCACTTTGATCTTTATTGCACCCCAACTCCCACAATTGTCCATTCAGTCATCAAGTGCACACCAAGTGCTGGGTGTTGTGGTAACTGATGAGGATAAAAGATAAATAAGACATAGACTCTGACTTCCTGCAACTCTCAGCTTAGTGGGAAATGCAAGCACAACACGAACATGTGATGGATGCTACACAGAGGTGCATACAAGGGGGCGCACAGAGGAAGGAATGACTGTCTTCTGGGGCTTCTGGAAAACATTCAGAGGGGGACATTGGGCTGGGTTTTAAGGGATGAGAAAAATTGTGGAGAGGCAGGGGAAAAGGTGTTTCAAACTTAGGGAAAAGCATAGTCGAGACACACAGAAGACACAAGGATCATGATCAAGTGCTCGGAAATGGCAGGTGTCAAGTAGGGCGAGAACATGACAAAGGGTGCCTGGAGTGAGGCTGGCCAAGTAAGCCTGGTCCTGAGTGCCGGGAGACACACTTAGAAGCAGGAATCTCTGAGAAGGAAATCCTGTGGTGAGCTGTAGCACAGATTGGAGAGGACAAAGAAGGAAGGAGGGCCTGACCTAAGGGGGTGGCAGTACCTCTAGAAAGAAAGGGATGTGAGCACGCATGTGAATAAAGGGAATGTAAGAGCACTATTTTCTGCAGATGGTCTCAGACAAGCTTTATGATAGAACCTGGGCAAAGGGACTAATTGTTAAGGCTTCCCAGGCCCAACTCATTATGCCTGGGGCGTTAGGGATACTAGCGTAGTAGCTGAGCAGGATTATTACAATCTGTTGTGATCTGACAGCACTAAATGTCCCCTTGCCCTGAAAGAATAAATAGGGTTCCTTTTAGGTTAATTTAGGCGGTAGAAAGAATCGAACTGAATTACTGCCAGGATTGCTAAGAAAGTTACCCCTGTGAGACCCAGCAGGTGCTGGGCAGCACCTGGCCAGTCCGATTAGATGATGTGGTGGCTCACACTACCCTGGAACCTGACAGTGGCTTATCTGACTGTGAGTATTCTCCAAGAAGGCTGGGAAACTCTCAGGTAAGAGCAGGGCAACAACATGAGGTCTACAGTGAGAAGGAGCCCCAGAGATCCCATGGGTTCTCCTTTCGTGGATGGGAAAAGCTGAGGCACAGAGAGTGACATGGCTTGAGGGGCATAGAGCTAGTATGTGGCAGAGCCAGGAACAGAATTCACCTTCCTTGATTCAGAAGTTGGTGCTTCTTTCACAGCATACTGTCCTCTGTGTACTGAAGCCACCATGAGATGAGTGGAACATGTGTAATGAAGAACTGTTTACCTTTACAGCAGCTCGGGTGGAAAAAGAGAAAACCAGTCTAGAGACACTAGGTAATAAAACCATCTTTGTGAGCCAAAGAGATTTAATACAGTAGCAATGAACTGGTACTCACATGGTGAAGAGTCTACAAAGTTCGGGTCAATATTATGCAGCAACTCCATTCTGGGGGATGGGCTTCCTTCACTGGAAAAGAATTTTTTAGGAAATGTTAATTTCCTCTCACAAATGAGCATGAGTTATTTTCATACTTCCTTTCCTTGTACTTGTGGGAAATAACAAAACCTGCTAATTAACAACTTGGCATGAATTCAGAGGTCTCCAAAATCTATGGTTGGTGCATCTTCAAGTAGTCTTCATTTGTCTACAATATAACGATGACTGAACACTTTACATAAGAACTTCAGGGTCAAGCATATGATGATATTAAAAAAAAAAAAAAAAAGTTCTGTGATCCTTCCCAATAAACATGTGGCTGTATTTAAACATGACTATTCTTTATATTGGAGAAACAAGAACTCACGTCATCCTGTATAGACTTCATACTGAACACTTCCAAGGAAATGAAGAGAGCATTTGCCAGAATGGTGGCACCAATATTACAGAACGCAATATGCCTGTTAAAGATTAGCCTATATCACAAAAGTTAATGTCTTCCATATCCAAATTTGCAACATGGATCTTACATTCGATACAAATATTATACATGTGAAATATCTAGATATCTGTAAGGTTTTTAAAAAGTGTACATACAAATACGATAACAACCTATATTAGTGCTGAAAAGTAACTTGGAGATCACTTAGTCTAACCCCTCTGGTTACAAATGAGGAAGGTCCATAGTAAATTATTGGTAGAATATCAGGTTGTGTGGCTCTTAAAGCAGTGTTCTTAAAAAACAGGGAACATAAACACCACCAGATGTATGTGAGGAGCACATGCAATACCCAGGTCATTTTGCAGTATAGGTTCAGCCTTATGGAAGTTGTTAAACACAATTTAAATCACTGAGAGAGCATGGAGGACTGCTTGATAATACCATACTGCTCAGCTTAGTACTAATGGTTGCAAAGTACTGTCAACACCATAGAATTTGTATACAATCTGAATAACCAATAAGGCTCTTGACGTAACCAAGAGGATATGCTTTCAGGTGGCCCAATGTCCACTCTCCAAATTCACAGCAAGTTGTTTATAGTTGTGGTTTGGGACTTCAAAGACCAGTAAAATTTCAAAAAATCTGGGTTTTGATTCACAACTTTGTATTTTCCAAGTAAGAAAATGCTAAATCAAGATTTAATTAATTAACCTAAAACCAGAAAAACTTCAACTACCATCAGAAACAAAAAAGGTAGGAAGGACACAGTCTCAGAATAAATGACAATCCTTTAAACTGGATATATTTAACTTTGGTATCCTACAAGATTTTGTTGTCCCTCCTTCACCCATAAAACACACTAGCAGGAGAGGTTGGGAGGGAAATTCTCAGGGATGCCTCCAGTCCTGGCAGAGGAGGGGCAGCTTGCAGGAGGTGGGGCTAGGGTAAGGTATAGCTCCCAGGACCCTTCTCTTCTTGTTTCCTTCCTGACCCACTTAACTACCTGTATATCCTGGAGACTGTCAACCAATTCAAATGGCCAGGAATGAGGGTTTGATCCCAGAAATTCCAAATGCAAGTAGGGAAGATGTTTAAAGGAACTGGTAAATATGAGAAAATCTAAACAGAATGGTGATAATGTCTAATTTGAGCAAATAGAGTTAAAATCCTGGCTAATAATGGCAAGTCAGTCAGGAGGGAAAATCAGAATGAATGCATTTAAAGTCTTCATTTTCTTTGGGAAGAGGGTAAAGCTGTTGATGAAATTTAGATTTAGCTAGTTAAATTTGTGTGTTAAATTTTTAGGGTAACTGTTAAAAATAAAGAATTTTTCTGGACTACATAAAATCAAAAGAAAATTCACTCAGTTCAGAAGAAGGCAATACAGGTTCCAGTCAAGATGGCAGAGTAGACGGTTCCTAGCAAAGCTCTCTTCCATAAATCAACCAATTTGCAACTATTAAAAAGCAACAACAAGAGGCCCGAGAGCCACATTGGAATAGGCAGGAGCTGGTGCCATGGGACCTCCAGCCCAGGCCAGTGCCTGCTGCTCAGAGAGGCTTGAGAGCTGCCAGGCCCACACGCCCCAATTCAGCCATGCCAGAACAGGCAGGAGCCACTAGACCTCTAGCCCAGGCCAGTGCCCACTGCCGAGAGAGGCCTGAGAGCCACTGGGCCCACACTCCCTGAGTCAGCCATGGCAGAACAGGCAGGTGCCATGGGGCCTTCAGCCCAGACCAGTGCCCACCAACCAGAGAGGCCTGAGAGCCACCAGGCCACACGCCTTGAGTCATCCATGCTGGAACAGGCAGGAGTCACGGGACACCCTGCTCAGGCCAGTGCCTGCCACACAGAGAGGCCTGAGAGTGGCTGGGCCCACACACCCCGAATCAGCCATGCCGGAACAGGCAGGTGCCATGGGACCCCTAGCCCAGGCCAGTCCCTGCTGCCCAGAGAGACCCAAGAGCCACCAGGCCCACATGCCTTGAGCCAGCTGTGCCAAAACAGGCAGGTGCTGTGGGACCCCCAGCCCAGGCTAGTCCCTGCTGCCCAGAATTGGCAGTCCCTTCAGCATCCAGGCCAGACATCAGGGGACAAGTGGACTGTGCTACCCCCTGCCACAATGACCAAACACCAAAGGAAAGATACCAGAAATATGAAAAATCAAGAAAGTACGCCACTGCGAAAGGGTAATAGTAACTCTCAAGCTCTAGATCGTACAAAACAGGAAGTCCTTGAAATGACTGATAAGGAATTTCAAGCAACAATTCTAAGGAAACTAAATGAGATACAAGAAAACTCAGTTAGACAACACAATGTAATGAGAAAAAATACACAGGACCTGAAAGAAGAAATGTACAAAGAAATCAATGCCCTGAAAAAGAATGTAGCAGAGCTTGTAGAGCTGAAGGATTCATTCAACAAAGTAAAAAACACAAAAGAGAGTCTAACCAGCAGCCTAGAAAAAGCAGAAGAGAGAATTTCTGAACTTGAAGAAAGGCTGTTTGAATTAACACAGGTGGATCAGAAAAAAGAAAAAAGAATTTAAAAAATTGAAGAAAATCTAAGAGAAAGAACAGACAACCTTAAGCATTCAAATATCCGAATCATGGGTATTCCAGAAGGGGAGGAAGAAGGAAATGATATTGAAAACATATTCAGTGAAATAATAGCAGAAAACTTCCCAGGTATAGGGAAAGTCACAGATCTTCAGATTCAGGAGGCCCAAAAATCCCCAAACATACTCAACCCAAAAAGGTCCTCTCCAAGACATGTTATAGTCAAACTGGCAAAACTCCAAGACAGAGAGAATCTTAAGAGCTGCAAGAGAGAAGTGGCAAGTTGCCTATAAGGGAGTCCCAATCAGAATAATATCAGACTTTTCATCAGAAACCCTAAAAGCCAGAAAAGAATGGGATGATATATTCAAAATACTAAAGGACAAAAATTGCCAGCCAAGAATACTTTACCCAGCAAGGCTATCTTCCTGAAATGAAGGACAAATAGTATATTTTTCAGACAAACAAAAACTGTGGGAGTTCACTACCACATGACCAGCCTTACAAGAAATTCTCAAGGGAGTACTGGGCTTGATACCTAAAAAACAACCATCACTGCCATGAATACTTAAGAAAGAACAAAACCTACCAGTAACACAAAAATGTTAACCATAAAGAGAAAAAATAGTTTATCTACCATCTCAAGAAACCAACAAACACAGAAAACAATCAGAAAATCAGAAAAGAAAAGGAACAAAAGATACTTAAGACATCTAAACAAAACTCAAACAAATGCTAGGAGTAAATCAACACATTTCAATAATAACTATAAATGTAAAAGGATTAAATTCCCCACTCAAAAGACACACACTGACTCACTGGATTAAAAAGATGGACCCAACAATATGCTGTCTTCAAGAGACTCACCTCACCTGTAAAGACACACATAGACTAAGAGTGAAAGGATGGAAAAAGATATACCAGGCAAATAGAAATGAAAAATGAGCCAGAGTAGCTATTCTTATATCTGATAAAGTACACTTTAAACCAAAAACCATAAAAAGAGATAAAGAAGGCCACTATATAATGATAAAAGGATCTATCCACCAAGAAGACATAACAATCACAAATATATATGCACCCAACATTGGAGCAGCCAGATTTATAAAGCAAACACTATTATATCTAAAGAATGAGATAGACACTAACACCATAATAGCAGGGGACTCAATGAACAACCCATTCTCAACCTTGGACAAAAAATCAATAGAGAAACACAAGATCTAAACAACACTTTAGACCAGTTGGACTCAGCAGATATCTACAGAACATTCCATCCAACAACCTCAGAATATTCATTCTTCTCATCAGCACATGGAACATTCTCCAGGATAGACCACATGTTAGGTCACAAAGCAAGTCTCATTTTTTCCTATCACAATGGATTAAAATTAGAAATCAATAACAAATGAAACTCTGGAAACTATACACACACATGGAAATTAAACAACATTCTACTTAATGACATATGGGTCCAAAAAGAAACAGGAAATCAAAAAATTTATTGAAACTAATGAAAATAATGACACATCATACCAAAACCTGTGGGATACTGCAAAAGCAGTACTAATGAGGAAATTTATTGCATTAAATGCTTACTTAAGAAGAATGGAAAGACTGCAAATAAACAACCTAACACTTCACCTGAAAGAACTAGAAAAACAAGAACAATCCAAACCTAAAGTTAGTAGATGGAAAGAAATAAAGATCAGAGCAGAACTAAATGAAATAGAAACCAAAAAAATGATACAAAAGATCAATGAAACAAAATGTTGGTTTCTTGAAAAGATAAATAAAATTCACAAACCTTTAGCAAGGCCAACTAAGAAAAGGAGAGAGAAGACCCAAATAACAAAAATTAGAAATGAAAAAGGTAATATTACAACTGATACCTCAGAAATACAAGGAAATCATTAGAGACTATTATAAATGACTATACGCCAACAAATTTGAAAATCTGGAGGAAATGGATAAATTTCTGGACACATAAAAACTACCAAAACTAAGCCAAGAAGATATAGGAAATCTGA